GATCGCACACTGAGAAGCGTCTCAGACAGCCAGAGCTGGCCTCTACTGGGTACTGAGCCCTGACCTGAAATCACGTGACACGTGGGGACTTGGTCATCTGCCTGTTTCCTCGGCCTCCAGCCAGCGCAAGACACTGCACATGCGCAGAGAACACACTGTTTCATAGCACCTGTCGGTCATGTTTTCTGGTTTTGCTTTGTGTTTCTTTTGCAATACTGGGTGTTGAACCAGGACCTTTGCAGTAGACTACATCCACAAACCTTTTTTTTATTTCGAAGTGAGATCTTGCAAAATTACTCGGGCATCGGGCTTGCTGGAACATGTAATCTCAGCACTCAGGAGGCAGAGACAGGAGGATCGCTGTGACTTCAAGCCTGAGCTACATAGTGAGTTCAAGGCCAGCCTGAACTGCATAGCAAGACCCTGTCTCAAAAAAAGTTTAAAAAGTAGAGACTCCAGAATTGCTGGGGCTGAGCTGGAAGCTGCAATCCCCCTGACTCACGGATTAGGGTTTCTCGACCTAAGGTCATGTGTGAGTCACATCCCCAGCACTCTTCCGTTGGCTGGGACATTGGGAAAGTGGAAGAACTCAGAGAGCCAGGCTCTGCAGCTTTCAGAAAAGCAGGCCAGGCTGGGCCCTGCGTGCACGGACCTCTAATCTGATCCCCAGCACAAGGAGAAAAAGGAGCAACACAGGCCAGTAGAATTTGTACCTGTGACCCTGTGTGCCAGAGACGAGCAGTTATTTCCACACAGTTGGAACAAAGCAAAATGGGAAACTTTTCAAACCAGGCACAGTGAGGGGCACATTCCTGTCATCCCAGCTGCTCTTGAGGCTGAGGCAGGAGGATCACAATTTCACCAACACCATGGGAAACTTACACCCTGCCTCAAAACAAAACAACAATTAAAATTTTACAAAACTCTCCATTTTTCCTTTGCTCTCTTTTTAGACCCCGCACTGCTTTCTGACTGACCAAGGTGCAGCGAAATTTGCAGCAGACATGGGGGTCCAGAAGATTCCTGAGGAGCAGCTGGTGACGGAGAGGAGCAGAAAGCACCTGGAAAAGGAGAAGCGGGAGAAAGGCGCCCTGAGTCCCGACTGTCCCAAGTGAGCAGCCCGCGGTTCCGAGAGGTCTTGGGGGCGTCTGGCAAATCCTGTCTGATTGTCACATTTTTTAAGCAGTTCAAGCCAAGGGCTGCGACGGCTGCTCCTTTTAGCCCTCAGTTGGGCCTGGTTTGCTGCTCTTTTGCCGACCTGCAGCGCTGTTCCGACTTGGGGTCTCTGGGGACGGCTGCTGGCTGGCATGAAGCCATCATGTGCCTGCCGCTCCCTCACCCGTCTGTACCTTCCCGAGACACAAGGGGTCCCCTGGGCTCCAAGTGTGCTCCTCCTCTCCTGGATTGTGGGTCATAGCCGGACTCAGCTCTTTAGCTTATTTACTCAGAGGCAGGAGGAGCCCAGAGCAACCAGGAGGAGACCTTGCTGTGCTTCCTGGCACGAGCCTGCCCCACTTTGGAACACTCGCCTTTCTCTTCTGCCATGGATAGTAAACATTTTTGTTGACTGTATTTTTTCTCCTGAGAGGGGTCTGCTCATACCAGTTACCCATTTTGGATTGGGTCTTTTTTATGGGATCTAATTCTTTTGAGTTCTTAGTATATTCTAAATGTTAGTTCTCTGTCCAAGGAATATCTAACAAAAACATTTTTGCTCATTCTTTACGTTGTCTCTTCACTCTGGTGGTTGCTTCCTTTGCTGTGCAGCAGCATATTGATTTGATATAATGGAACTTGATTCTTGTGCAACTGAGATTCTGTTCAGAAAGTCCTTGCCTGTGTGTGTGACTTCAAGAGTTTTATCTACTTTATCTTCCAGCAGGTTAACGTTTACATTTTTGATCCATTGGATTTTAGTTTAGTGGACGGTGAGACATAGGGGTCCAGATTCAGTCTTCTGCATGTAGATAGCCAGCTTCCCCAGCACCTTTCATTGAAGAGGTATTCTTTTCTTGAGCATGTTTTTGTCCCATTTGTCAAGGAATAGATAGCTGAATGTGCCTGGAGTTGTTTCTGCATCCTCTGTTCTTTTCCATTGAGCTACAACCTGTTTTTGTGCCAGAACCATGCTGTTTTATCACTGTAACTTCATAATACAACTTGATATCCAGGATTGTGATACCTCCTACTGTGTGTGTTACCCAGTTGCTTTTGTTATTGTAGGTTTTTTCCTTGTTCCATATGAATTTTAGTATTGTTTTCTCTAGTACTATGAGAAATGCTGTTGGTATTGTGATCAGAATTGCATTAAATCTATATATCAGTTATGGAAGTATGCCCATTTTGACAGTATTGGTTCTGCCTATCCAGGAACAGGGGACATCTCCCCTTTTTGTTTTTGTTTTTGTTTTTTGAGACAGGGTTTCACTATGCAGCTTAGGCTGGCCTCACACTCACAGTGATCCTCCTGTCTCAGCCTCTCGGGTGCAGGCATATACCACCACACCTGGCCCATCTTTCCAGTTTTTGGTGTCCATTTTGATTGCCTTTTTCAGAGTACCAGAGTTTTTATTGTAGAGGTCTTTCACTTGCTTGGCTGGATTAATTCCTAAGTATTTAAGTTTTTTTTTTTGCTTAGCTGTATTAATTCCTAAGTACTTAAGTTTTTTTTTTTGTATCCTCCCAGAAGCTCTTGTAGAATTTAGTGGTGAATCTATCAGGTCCTGGGCTTTTCTTATGTGGTAGGTTTTTAATTCTTGCCTGAATTTCATTGCCTGTTCTTGGATTGGTCAGTTTTAAATGTCATCTTTGTTCAGTTTTGATAAATCGTATGTCTAGGAATCTGTCCATTCCAGATTGTGCAGTTTGTAATAGTACAGTTTTTCATAATTATTAATGGTCTCAATTTCAGCGGTACCATTGTGTTTTTGCCTTTTTCATTTCTAACTGCATTGAAATGCATCTTTTTTGGTGGATTTTTTCTGTGGTTGTTGTTTGTTTGTTTATTTCAAGACAAGATCTTGCTATGTAGCCTAAACTGTCCTCAAACTTACTACGTAGACCTGGGTCGCCTTGACCTCTCAGTGATCCTCTTGCCTCAGCCTCTGGGGTGCTGGTATTACAAGCATGTGCCACCACATTTACCCTGGGTTTGTCTATTTTGTTTATACTTTCATGAAACAAGCTTTTACATTCATTGATTGTTTTTATGGCTTTTTTATAATCTCAATTTCATTAATTTCTGCTCTGATTGTCATACTTTCCTTCCTTGTACTAGGTCAGGTTTTGGACTCCTTTTGTTTTCTCTAGGTTTTTGAGGTATATCCTTAGGTTTTTATTTGTATTTGCTCTGTTTTTGTGATGTGAACATTCATAGCAATGAGCTTCTCTCTTAGGACTGTTTTGTACTGGTGTTATCATTTGACTCTAGGAATTGGTTTATTCCTTGATTTCTTCTGTGATCAATTGAGTATTCAGGAGTGTGTAATTTAATGACCAGGTGTTTGTAAAATTTCTGTGGGGTTGGGGGTAGTGTCTCTTGTTTTTTCCTTTTTTGCCATTGATTTATAGTTTCAGAGTGCTATAATCTCATAGTGTACATGGGATGGTTTTGATTCTTTCATATATACACTAAGCACCTGACTAGCAAACAATTTCCACTCTAAGACAAATATGTGTAAGTTGGATTCACTCAAGAATGATTTCTATTTAAGAATGATTTTTTTTTATTCTAAAGGCCAAAAAACTGACAAAACAATTGTGAAGACAAAATAAAAACAATACGGAAAAAAAAAAAGCAATAAATGACCTCAAAACAAAATGATAGGAATTAACAGTGGTTGCTACATTACATACTGTTATCTTAAGAATGATTATTTTGAAAAACCAGCTTACAATGTGCTGATTCATAGCTCACATAATCCTATGAGCTCCTGTTCTACTGAGGGGGAAGGGACACCCTGAAGCACTAAGCCAGGACAGCAGGTGTGAGACAGGGATGTCCTGGGTGACCAGGATGTTCAGACAACACATTTGTGAGGTCCTTGGTGACGTGACCCTGGCTGCCTTCTGACCTTCCTGCTGCCTCTATCCACAGCCAGCTCCAGACACAGTGGCCCCTGGGGCTGCATGAGGCTGAGCATGTCTGCTGCCCACGGGGACAGCCCACCCTTCCGCGGGGGCCTTGGCCAGAGCCGCAACCACCGCTGCTCGCCTGCTGTGTGGCTCCGCTCTCTCTCCTTCTGTTTTCTTTCTTCTTCTTCCATGTTTTGCCACCTGAAGTTTTCTGGCGCAGCCCAAATGTAGCTCGGTGGGAGAAGGGACTGGGTCCCTGTCGTTCCCGCTGGGACTCGCCACGCAGGACCGTTCCCTCGGCGCTGGGGTGGCAGGATGGGCATTGGCACACAGTGACTCCACCTTCTACTTCCAAGTTCATGATAAATGTCAAAGGAAAAATGAACTTACCCCATCCTCCCTACAGCCCACAAAGCAGGTTCCCTTGGGCTCAGTGGATGGGCAGCTGGGACACCTGGGGCAGGACCTCAGCACCCCCAGGCCAGGCCTGCCCTGCA